AATGTCTTCTAACAATTACAATTCCTTCTTGACTATATCTTTGTCCTGAACTCAGTAGAATAGCACTTTGTTTTTACTTTCTAGAATAAAGTTTTTAAGATTTTTTTTCCTTTATTAATTTTAGATAGAGAGGAAGGGAGAGAGAGAGAGAGAGAGAGAGAGAGAGAGAGAGAGAGAGAGAGAGAGAGAGAGATAGAAACGTTGATGAGAGAGAACATCAATTGGCTGCCTCCTGCATGCCCCCCACTAGGAATCGGGCCCACAACCTGGGCATGTGCCCTGACCGGGAATCAAACCGGCGACCCCTTGGTGGGTGGGTTGATAATCAACCGCTGAGCCACACCAGCTGGGCAAGATTTCTTTAATAAAAAATATACTTTTCTTATTTTTCTTGTGTCTCTTAACTCTTCTAAATGTTCTGGATATATGTATTTAAATTACAGTATATGGCCTAAAATCTTAATGAGATGACAAGCAATTTTAATAAGCTGAAACTTATATTCATTTCCAATTTTAAAAAATGATAGAATTCTAGGATCTTAAAGGTTAGAAAGAACCACACAAGATATCCAGCCCCATCTCCCTCTAAGGAAGAAATCCATAATAGAGCATCCCTAATGCTTTGCCTTCCAATTTCTCAAATTTTCCTAGAGAAAGAGTTTAGTGTTCTGTGGATTTAGACTGTTCTATTGATAGACAACACAGTGCCTGACCTATAGAAGGTATTTAAATGTTGTTCAAAAATCTGATTCCCTGGAACCACCCATTGGTTATGGTTCTGCTCTCTAAGTGTGGCAAAATAAATGTGCCCCCTTGATACTTAATAGCCATGCAACCATTTGAATACAACCACCATCGCCGAGCCCCCCCGCCCCCAAGGCTTTGCCTCTCCAAGCTAAAAGCTCATCTCCTTTATTTATTGTTTTCCATACCTTTTGCTATCCAGCTTTCTGTCCATTGGATGAATTTTAGTTTGTCCACATCCTCTTTAAAATGTGATTCCAAGAATATAACAAATATAATATAAAGTATTTTAATTAACTCATTATTTTTACACATATATGAAGCCCAATTCAAGAAAATCAAGGAGTCATTGTTTCAACTAAATATGTTTATTGCATGATTCTCTTAGCACCAGAAAGCATTCTGTTTGCTCCTTGCCTCCATATCTCCTTATCTCTAGTTATCAAAAACATCCACACGGGCCAGTTTTCTATCTTTTGAAGTGGTGTCATGGATTCTAATTAATCATTTCTTAGTGCCACTATCAGTTTAATACTGGGATGGATGGTGTGTTGTTCGTTTTTTATATTCTTAAGAACAGAAATATTATCAAGAGCCCCTCTCTGAAAATCTATGAAATGAAGTCCATCACAAATAACATTAAGAACAAATATGGAACAAATTATTCACTACAATTAAGATTACATATAGGATGACTTTGCCACCTTGACTGTTTTAAGAAGTTTGTGCCCCTTCAGAATCAGACCTAGCTATGTATGTCTTTCTTTAACATGTCATAATCAACATGGTCTTGTCAGAGCTTCACCACCAAGTGGAACAGAGTTGAGGCAAAAGGCTGGATAATTCAAACCAAAATAACTTTTCAGCCCATAGAGGCTATGATCAGTATTGAAGGCCAAAACCCAAAGTGTGATCATGTTGCATTAAATTGAGACTAAATTGTGAGGGAGGGAGGGGAAGAAAGAAGGAAAGAAAGAAAGGAGAGGGAGAGAGCGAGCACAAAGGAAGGAAGGAAGGAAGGAAGGAAGGAAGGAAGGAAGGAAGGAAGGAAGGAGAAAGGAGCCCTGGCCCAGTGTGGCTCAGCTGTTGGAGCATCGGCCCTCAGACCAGAGAGACGGAGGTTTGGTTCCGCTAAGGGCACGTACCTCGGTTGTGGTTGGACCCTGGCCTCGGTTGGGGTCATGTGGGTGGCAACCAGTTGATGTGTTTCTCTCACATTGATGTTTCTCTTTCTCTCTCTTCCTTCCTCTCTCCCTCCCACTCTATCTGAAAATAAATGCAAGAGTGTCCTCAGGTGAGGATTAAAAAAAAGAAAGAAAAGGAAAAGAAAATTAGGAGAACTTTTCTATTGAATTGTTTGCCACCAATCTCAGGGAATACTGTCTGATGAGAAAACAGTGCTGCAGGTCCTAGCTCTTTCCTTCTCACCTCATCTCACCAGGAACAGCCACAAACAGAGGACCAGGATGAGGCAAAATGGGCATCTTTCTATGTTTAATGCTCCTGAATCAAAGACACAGACAACCAGGTCCCTGGGCTCCAGGATTCATTCTGCCTCCAACCAGGTAGAGCGGTGCCTATGCTAACAAAGCATCTCATCTACCTGCCTTTTCAGAAGGTCAGGAGATGTGCCCAATCTGCTCCTCATAGACCCGAAATAAGTCCTGGCATCTTCTTGTGAAGACAAAAGAAAGAGATAGATGTCTGATGTGTTGGGATATGTATAAATCATCTACTTTATTTTTTTTTTAATTTCCCCCAAAAACATAAAATTTCTGTTCCATTTTAAATTCTCCCCAAATCCCTTTTAGTAGCTGTTCTTCCTGGGATTGGAAGAATTTGAAATTTTTCCTCCTTGTGTAATAGTATCTACTCTCCCTTCCATGTTACCAGGAACATTCTTATTCACAAATCACTTTTTTCCTAAAACCAAGTTATTCGTTTTATTGTAAAGCATTTGTCAAAAACTCCTGCCTTAAAACAGTACTGTTATTATCTGAGCAAGAAGAGAAAGGAGAAATCTGAACCTAAATTTGCTTTTAATAACACATCTACACAATCCAAGTAAATGAGAAAGGTGTTCTTATGAAGTGATAGAGGCAAAATGCCAATCAATGCATTGTTACTAGGAAAAAAGTGTCCTGGGCAGAGAAATAAAGGAGTCAGAACATATATATTCCTGCTTTGGCTGTTAGCTAGTCCTGATTTCATGCGTAAATCTTACAATCTTGTCAAGCCTTAATTTCCTTAACTATGAAAGGGAAAAATAATTCTTGTCTGTGACTCACAAGATTGTTAATTGATAAAGAGCACTTTGGAAAATGGAAACAGCTATACAATGCTTATGTTTTTAAAACAACAGTTTTGCCTCCTAAATGATGCAGAATGAGTAAATGTCTAACCCTCTGACCCTTGTCTTTGCTTAAGATAATGTTTCCCCGGGCAAGCTACTGTAAAAAAAAAAAAAAAAAAAAAAAAAAAAGGTCTACTCCTACATTCATGGAATCGTAGCATTAAGGTCTAGAAAAACCTTTAGGATTTATCCTCTTACTAGTAAAATGAAGAACCAAAAAAGATCAAATGCAATGTAAACTCACACAGCTGTTGTCTACATACAGGCATGCCTCGTTTTATTGCCCTTCACAGTTTCGTCTTTACAAACTGAAGGCAAGATCCTCCACCAGCAAAAGGATTACCATTCGCTTTATTGTGTTTTATTACAGTGGTCTCGAACCCAACTGCAGTATCTCTCAGGTGAGCCTTTTATTATTATTCATCCTTAGAACCCAAGGGCGAGGACCCCTTAGCCACTCTCCCTCCTCTCCAGCCTTCCTGGGCTCGCTCACCTAAACACACAGCCAGAGTGAGGGAAGATGGGAAGCGAGGTTGCCCCTGGCGGACCTGCTATATTTGATAAGCGTACTGGGCCTGTAGTATCACCACGTGATTCGTTAGTATAATTTCAAATTCCAAGTATCTTCAGCATTTCAGAGTCAAAAAATAGTATTTACCTTGACCTTTTCCATGCAGGTAGAATTCAAGACTATTAAACAATTAAAAACTGAAAAATCGGGGTGCGGGAGACGGGATCGGTTAAGGAAAGGTCAAGCGTTGGCTTGGTTCGGTCCCGCGGAGAACCGGAAACTGCCTGCGGCGGCGGGAAGGACCGTGCATAGGTTGGAGGCCGAACAAACGGTTCCCAGAACTTATGTTCGTTCCCAGTTTTTCCCGCAAGCCCTTTATTAACTAAACAGACTGCAAACCCGGGATGAGAACGGACCTCCCCGGGAGAGAGAGCGGGGCCACGTGCAGGGCGCGTCTGACTCCTGCTCCAGCTCAGTCGTCCCCAAACAGGTGCACTCCCGAAGGGGACGAGGCTTCTTCCCCTTTAGCCTTACTTTTGCAAAAACTCCGCATTCTCTTAAAACGCAATGAGAACGAGTATTTCCATACACAACCCGAGGAACGCTCACTTAAAATGTCAGTAAGCGGTGGGACGTGGAAGAGTTGCGGGGCGGGCCCACAGCAAGGTCGGGCAGCAAAATTGCTCCAGGGGTTTTTCTGCTCAAGTTTCTGCCGCGCGCGGGCGCTTCTCAGTATGGGGCCCCCAGTCGCAGTGGAGGTGAGGAGGACCGAAAGGAGCGCCAGGGACCACTAGCTCAGGAAGGTGCCGGGGAGCAGAGCCGCCAGGTCTCGAGGGGAACGGTGGCGGGAGAGGACAGAAGCGCCGCTCTGAGAAGGAGGGCGTCGCTTAGTTTGTGAGTTTGAGATGGGGTTGGGGGAATCCGCATTGGAGGTTGGCAGCGAGCAGCGCGCGAGTCCGTCTGGCCGTGGACACGTTAAGTAAGAATTAGGTCACGGCTCTGCCCGGCTCCCGGCAGAGCGGAAGGCCCAGGCACCGGCCCCTTACCTGCAGTCATTGGGTCTGCCCAAGAAGGGCAAAGGGTCCGCGTGGAGAGGCCGCGGAACCTGGACAACCAGAGCTGGGGACAGGTGGCTGAGAGTTGAGGGCCCAGGGGATCTGCTCTCCCGGAGGAGAACTGGAGAGCCGCGGGTCCGCGTTCCAGTATGAGCGCCGGGCACGGGGAAGAGCTGCCCCGAGCACACGTACCCCCCTCGGGGACTCACGGGCGGGGGGAGGAGGAGGGCAAGCGGTCGATCCGCCGCCGCGCGGGTTCTGCACGGGTTGGAGGGCGAACAGCTGCGTTTTGTCTTCCAGGAGCCGACTTCCGAAGCCGCCGGTCTCGAAGCCTCCGGAGTCTTCCAGTCCGGGAGGAAGCCGCGCCCGCCCCGCGGCCTCCTCCCGCCTGCCCCAGCCTGGCTGCTCAGAGCACCTGTGGCTCTAAGCCGAGTTCCCCTCGTCCCCGATGTCCACCTCGTCCTCCGGCTCGGTTAGCACAAAGGGGCCGGCGGGCAGACCCAGCCGAGCCTCGGAGGGTGCGGCTTCTGGGCCGCGGGGGCTGCCGTCAGGGCTCTCGGGCCCATCCGGTGCTTTGGGCTCGTCTTGACTTTTCCTCAGCTGTTTTTTATGTTTCATCCGCCGGTTCTGGAACCACGTTTTCACCTGATTTCAGGGAGAAAAATATAAAACCATGTTATTCCTTCAGACCCATAATTACTGACCTAAGATCTGAGCGATTGCGGGGCTTTAGGAACATGGTCCTGGACCGCAATCCATTGACGAATTATTCAAGAGTTGTGACAGTCTCTGCAGGGTCAAGTCACGCCCAAACTGCTCAGAAGTTCGTCTTAGGTTGAATGAGAACCAAACAACCTGTGTCTCCCAGAAGTAACTGTCCCGAAATAATAGTGATGGGCAAGATGAGTGGTCAGTGAATACTAACCCTGTTATTAACTAGAGTTACTAACAGTAAGTGTTGCGTGGATGTCTCCTTTACTTTCAATACACGTCCCTCTGATTAGGACAGCCAAGTGTCTGGCCAGCAAGGTTCCTGGGCAGGCAGGGGCATCAAACTTGCTGGTTCTCACCAGAGAAAACACAGCGAGGTGGGTTTGAGGTGCACAGAAGGTGAGACAAGGTGTGGAGGAAGGAGTTTGGAGGTTGAATAGCATCTGGAGGAAGACAAATGGTTCTTCCACTGAGGAGAGGGCGATAGGGAGAAGCTTAAGTTATGGGGGGGGGGGCATGGATATGAAGACTCGCAGCGGTTAGAGATTGAAATAGGAAGACAAAATCTCGTGTGGGCTTCTCTCGGGACAAGAACGTCTCCGATCTCGGTCTGTGTCTGACAGGGGTACTGCCTTGACCTGGAGAAGCAGAGAAGGCGCTGCAAAGGCAGCTCTCAGACGGGAGCAGTGGTCGGATCACTGGAGTTTTTCCTCCAAGTCCAGAGCCTGCCCGCTGGAGAGACGTTGCTTTGGTAAGTCTGACATGAGGTTGAAAGTGGCTGTGCTCGGCTAAGAATCTTTGGAGACGCCTCGAATCAAGGGGAGCGGCGTCATCCCCGTTTGGCCTCTGCATGGGTCCGGAAGGGGTTAGGAGTTGAGGGCAGAGGAGCAGGAGCAGATCGGGGCCTCCCTCTGCCAGGCCCACCTGCGTCTCAGACAGGCTGAGGGCCGTGGCCAGCTCCACCCGCTCGGGCGTGGACAGGTAGCGCTGGATCTCGAACCTCTTCTCCAGGCCAGACAGCTGCGAGTCCGAGAACACCGTGCGCGCTTTGCGGCGGCGGCAGTGCTTCCCCGGCAGCTCCGCGTGCGGGGGGTGCGGGAACAGCGCGGGGACCGGCACCCCTGCGGAGAGAAAAGCCGCCCGGTGGGCAGAGCCCCAGCACGCTCGAGCGGCCCCCGCTGCACTCCCCTCCTCCGTCCCCCGGCTCCCGCAGCCTCTCGTCGCCACAGTCCCCTCCTCTCCCCAAAGCCTCCGACCCTTCTCTGGGGCACAAGGGGCGGGCTGGGGACGGGGAGACAGCAAGAGTACCGCTTGGAGATCGTCAGGAAGCCACCTAGAAACACAAACAATTAACAGTAGGAAAAACGGAAAAGAACATTATAACATAGATCGGAGGACTTTTTAACACGTCTTCTCAGAGAGACTTTCCCAGCGTCTCAGGGTCCCGCCCTCCTCTGCGCCTCCCCCCGAAGTTTCCTTGCAAAGGTCGGCGGCCAGGAGCTGTCTCCCTCTTCTCCATCCCCCACTCTTCCAGACCCCGATGACCTTCAGGGTGGTTCTGAGATTAGTGGAATCCTGAGCTTGCTCTTGCCTCTCAGACTCACTAAAATCGCCTTTCTCTTTCCCAGCCTTCCCGGATTTTCCGCCTTCGGCCTAAGGGAACCGCTGCACACTCGCATCCGGGGAGGCTCCCAGCGCGGACGGAGAGGCGATTCCCGCCTCGCACGTTTCCTTATCGGATTGAGGGTAGCGCTGGGGACCCCGCTGCCTAATCTGCCCCTCACTGTTTTTCTCATTCTCTCCCTCCGACCTCAAGCAGAACTGGATCAAAGACCGTTTTCTTTCCGCACCTCACACCTTGGCAGGCTGTGCCGTGTCCCAGAGGCACCAAGCCTGCACTGCCACAGGCACAGCACTGGCCAATCCCGGGAAAACAAAAGCAAAACAGGAAACAAGCAGTCCCGGTATCTCGGGCTTCGGCCACTACTCTGGAGGGAGCATGAGTGGCCACTACTCTGGGGGGAGCATGAGTGGGCCGGCCCGGTGCTGAAGCCGGTGCCAAGATGCAGACTTCGAGGCAGGCTTCTCAACCGCCTTTCCAACTCCGGACCCCGGCATCTGGGATTTCCGTTTCACAATCACTTTTAGCGTTTGTTGTGGATTCACACACTGCCTCGTGTCTCTCCACAGCCCCCGCTGGGACTAGGGTTGTTTCCGGCTGCGCTCTGCGCTTGGACTCAACGAATTATTCTGTTCCGGCTGGAATGGAAATGCCGGGAAGAAAGTGGGACCAAGTTTTCTCAGAGAGAGGCAGTAAAAACCTGGGCCTTTCCCCACACCTCCTGTACCAACTAGGCTTTGCGGGTGCCGGTTCCTTGCCACCTCTGGCAAATCAAAATGCTTAGGTGCTGGGCTCCAGCGGTGCCAGCAACAAGGGCAGAGAGGGAAGCTGCGCCCACGACTTGGGAGTGGAGAGAGTTAGAGAGCCACGTCCCTCCCTCTTTTTTTCTTACCCTTTCTCCCTTCCTTGGTCAGTGCAACCCTTCAGTCCTCAGAATATCCCAAACTCTCACTTCCAAGCCTCCACAGGTCGGATGGTGAATGTTCAGCACCTGGGAGAGAAAGCTACCCCCTGGAGTCTTTTGAACTTCTGAATTGCAAAGTTGAGTTCTGTTCTATGGGGTGAAGTGGTCAGGGGTCTCCCTCAGAGCAGGAAGAGACAGAGAATTGAGACTGAGAGCTGCACCAAAGCCACCAGGAAGACAACAGGAAGGAAACTGAGCACTGCCCACCAAGAATCAACACCTCCAGCCACCTCTTGGCTGCACATGTTTCCTCCATTCTAAAGAGTACAAAGTGACCACAAGTTACCCCATGGGTTGGCATACCTCAAGGGAGCTCTGTGTGTTCTCAGACATCCCGACCTTCTGCTGTTACCTGGGGACGGAGGCCCACAAGCCAGGCTGCACCAGTTTTGGCCTTCTCTAGGCTCCATCACAGGATGGGGTCTGCGCAGGAACACCTGCTCTCTCACTCCCTGTACCTCGAAGCCCCTGTTACTTACCCGAAGTGGTGAGAAAATAAGGGTGGTGGTGGTCTCCCTTATGCAGAGGGTGGTGGGGGTGAGGAGCCAGGAGAGTGGGTGTGGGCATGAGAGGGTAGCCATAGTCTAGCAGAGGCACCCGAGAGGACAGAGAACTGGCGAAATGGTCGGGGGCCACCTCCCTGAGTGGCTTGGGCTTGTGCAGCAGGATGTCTTCAATGAAGAAAGACGTGGGCCTCTGAGAAGATGCCGGGTGTAGAGGGGAGGTGAAGTTGAGATTCATCTTGAGCCTGGCGCTGGACACGGGGCGAGGGCCGAGGAAGAAGTGTAGGGAACAGGCAGCGTCTCAGCAAGCCTGGTCGACAGCGGACAACCACCCTGCGAGGCTCGGATCCCCACGGCTCTCTCCCCGGCCTGGGCTACCCCTGGCGCTGCAGAGGAAGAAGACTAGCTCCTGGGTAGGTTGGGTAGGAGAATTGGCAGCTTGGAGAGGGGAGCCGGGAGAGCCAATGGCAGGGCTGCCAGCCGTGGAGGGGAGGGTGCGGTGGGCTCGGGGCGTGGCGGGGAGCTGTCCGCGGTGCTAAATTCTACAGGCCAGACCCGGCAGGCGGACTGGACCGGGTTGTTGCTCCTACCAGGATTCCCCGCTGTAATTTCTGACCCTTCACTGTAGGAGCTGCTTTGCTCCCAGCTATTTTTAAAGAAGACTAAAAAGAAAAAGTCTCTGTCTTCCGACAAACTCCTCTTTAGAGAACAGAAGGCATTTCAAGGGCCCAACGCAATAGGGATAAGACACTTATTTTGGCATTTGGGTCTGGGTTCCAAAAATGTAGAGAAATCATAGCAAGGACAAGGGGAGAAGTGAGGAGAAAGAGAGGCCATATCTGCTGGACCCAACTGAAATGGGATGGCTGACGGATGACGAGATTGTCGAGGTGGATAAATGGAATAATGATCATAGCATCCTTTACCTCAGTTATAGCGGGTGGTGTGAGGGAAGTTATATCTACATTAGTTGAGTAACATGGTCTGCGTAAATATGGCCAGAGCTACCTCTTAATGCCAGTCTCCACCTCCTCTCGGATTTTTGTTATCTTCTTGTTCCACTCACAGAGCTATTTCTGCTGTACTACCCATTTCAACACCCCCCCACACACACACACATATTTGTGCTAGGTTTTTGTCCCCATTCGCCTCCCAGCCTTTCTTTTTATTTCCCTCCTTCCCAATCCTTTCTCCTGTTTGTCTCTTTTCTGATCTGTCACATTTATTTACCTTGAGTCAATTTGCTAAAATTAAGGTGATCATCTACAGCACAGCAGGCTAACTTTGACTCACATCTCCAAAAATTGCTCTAATTATTGGTGTTAAACTCAGAGAAATTAAAAGAAGCCACTTCTCCTCCATCTCCCCATTTTTAAGCTCTAATTTGTTGAAATCTAGTTGTCATCACAATTCCAATCACTACTGCTAATAGCAAAAGTGTTTTAATAGAGACTGAGTCCTCACAACCCATGCTATTAGATAATTAAAGGAGGTGTTAGAAAGCCAAGTGCTAATCCTTGGGTGCATGGGTAGAATTTTCATCTGATCTAGCAGGTAAAACAAATTAATTACCAGAATCAATTAGGCCCCAAACTACAGTGCTGCAGGAAGTAAGAGCTCTTATTCCATATGGATGACCTGGTAAAAATGGAAAACAGATGAGGAGAGTGAGAGGAAGGAGAAAGAAGGGGGTAAATAACTTCAAAATAAGATCTTAGCAAGTAGGCATTGAAACAAAGTCAGAATGCTTTGTCCTGGAGTCTGAAAAGTGATTTTTGTTTTAAGTGTATAATGGGAAGAACTGAAGACACAGAGCAGGCCACCGAGAAATGGCCACAGAAAGGGAAAATGATAGACTTCCAAGAGTCATTTCTTATTCCTTAGCCTCAGTCCAGTCATCTCCCCAGGGCTAGAGAGAAACTGAAGAGGCCCCTAAAGAGGCCTGGGGCATGGTTCCCACTGTAGGAAGTCCACCGCCTCCCAGCGAGAGAGCTTCAAGCCTTCCTGTCTTCTGGGATCCTAAAGGCTAGAGGCTGTTTCAGAGGTGGTGGGGGTACAACCAGACACTGGTCACAGGGAAGAGCCTTCCTGTGCTTGCTCACGCCCTCTTCTCCATCCCTACATGGAGGGAGAGCACAAATTTGCAATCAGCCTTGAGGATGGGATTTCAGTTTCACTATGAGGTGGGACTAACTCCTGCCTCAGAAAGTGAAATGAAAAGATTACTGAATGTCCCTTTGGGACCAGGGGTAGTAAAAACCATCTTTGGGTGACAGTTACCTTTGACCCAAGGCACTGCAAACCCTTTCTCAGAATTTAGCCTTATGCACCTCTCAGAGTTTTCTCAGGATCTGAGGAGGGAAGGGAAAGGGAGGGAAGTAGAGCACCTGCTGGGTCCTTCCCTTTCCCCTATTTCATAGACCCTGGACTCAGCTCCCTATCTCCCCCAAAGCTAAGGCTGTTTTCCTTGGCCCTGCTGCCTGGCCTAGATGCAGGGGAGGAGGCCCACTCCTCACACTGCCCATTCTGAGTTCTGCTCATTCTGGGACTCATCTTCCTGGTAGCCCAACACCTCCCGCTCAGTAGGAACCTGAGAGAGAGATGAAGGGAGAAAACGGGATGACTATGAGAAGGGGCAGGACCTCGAGGACTGCAGGTGAGTTTTACTTCCCCCCCTCCCCTTCCCCTTTCAGCGATGCTGGGAAACAAAGCTCTGTGGCTGAGAAAATAGACAGCCGCCAGCACCAAAGCAGCCCTCGGGGATGGGGGGGGCAGAGGGGAGAACAGGGGATTGGTCAGAAGTGGAGGCAGAGACAGGGATTCCTCAGTCACCATAGTGGACACCCTATTTGATGAGAGAGACCCCTTCTCCCAGGGTGCTCAGAGAATCCCAGCTGGGGCTTGCCATGGGGATTGTGGCCCTGAGCCTAGCACTGGAATGGACAGGCTGTGCAGGCAAGTCTTGTCCTGGAAAAGTTCCTATGGGGTGGGGTCTCCCATTCAAGAGGTCAAAAAAGCTAGGAATTGTCTTTATCATGGTGGGGCTGCTGAGCAGAACCACGGGACACTCTAGGATTAACAGAACCCCATCCCTACCTTCCCATGGGGCTCATGCCTGGCCCATCCTCCTTCTGTGGTGGGTGATGGAGGCCACCTGGGCATCCAGCCACCTCTTGAGATTCACTTCATGTTGGTCGTATGTTTGGGGGAAGGGGCATTCCAGAGCCCACAGGCCTTTCTCTATGTTTTTAGATAGCTTATAAACAGTTTGCCCCTTAAAAGCAGGACTGTTTCCTTGCCTGGATTATCTATAAAGTCTAGAGCAGCACTGTTCAATAAAAATATGAGCATCAAATAGGCAATTTCAGATTTTCTGCTAGCCACACTTAAAAAGTAAGAAGAAACAGGTGAAATATTACTATATTTCATTTAACTCCTATATGTCAAAAATATGATTATTCAACAGGTAATCAATATAAATATTATCAATGAAATTCTTTTGCATTCCTTTTTAATACTAAGTCTCCAAAATCTAGTGTGTATTTTACATTAACTGCACATCTCAATCCAGATGAGCCATATTTCAAGCGCTCAACAGCCACATAAGGCTAGTGGTTACTTACTGGACAGCACATGGCCAGTTAACTGCCATAATCCCATTCGCCCCTCTCCAGGGTAGGTAGACATGCACAAAGGAAATGGAAAGCAGCTTCTGAAGCCAGCCCAGTATATTTTCAATGCTGCCCTTCATCCATCCACTATATGTGATCATTGTGAGCATTATTGTGAGCATTTTTTTGAACATCCACTATATGCCAGGCTACTTATTACACATTTTCTCAACCTCAGAAGATTCAATAAATGCACTCACATTACATTTATTTTTATTTGACCAAAATCTGTCACCCAGAGCCAGCTGTAGCTGACACATAAAACCAGACTCTGCACACTGCCCTGAGCCAAAAAAAAAAAAGATCAAATAAATTCTCCCCCTCCCCAATCTGCAAGGCATGATAGAGCTCCTGCTTATGGTTTCAGATGAAGAATTATTAATTTAAAGAGAAAAAAAGATGTTTTCCAGAGTGTAAATAATTAAACAATCCTACTCTCTTTCATGTCAGTCTCATTTGAAACTGTCATCTGAGCTGGGACTTGGTTTCCCAAAAAGATAACCCTATTGATGATCAAAGAAAAGACTGGTTCCATTAGCCAACTTGCCTAGACTGTGGCCTTCAAAATAAAGGGAGAAATGTATTTTAGAAGGATCTGAGTAACACACTTTACTCATAACATTTTGTATTATATTGCTTGTTGCCTGTTTCAACTTACCTTCTATCTGAGCACTTTATTTTAAGTACTGCCGAAGTGGCTAGCAGTCTAGAGGAAGAAGTGGAGTCACTGGATGCTCCCTGCAAACGCATCTTCTTTTACGCTGGAAAGTAGGATGTGAACTCACATGAGAACACACTCAAGGGTAGGATATTTAAATCACAGTATTTATTCCTCCTATAAGGAGGAATCCAGCTTGCTCACTGAGGACTGGGTCAATCTTTAAGGTTAAAGCATTCATTTCTTTTCTCTGTTGAAGTTTTCTATACTGCCTCTGGCACCTCAATTCAAAGCATGCTTCATAAAGTTTGTGATGGAAAGATCTTTAAGGGAATCAGTGGTTTGAAATAAGAAAGGTCATAGATCATCATGTCTTAATCCTCTAAGTGGTATATAATGGAATTAGAATGATCTTTAAATCAGTTTTTATTAGAATTCTACCATTTTCCTCATCAAGTCCCAGAAACGTAGCCAAATATATTTTTTTTTAAAAAAAGGTAACACAGATGTCCTTTAAATATTCTTTTCTTCCATTCTAAAGCACCCAAATTCTATCATCAGAGTTAAAATTTAGCACCTAATGATAAAATGTACTTTAAATGGTAATACCAAACTAGTATGCATTGTTTTGAAAATAAAGGGGCATACATGACCACCACTACATACTGTGCATTTCTGATGTTAGAGGTTGTGAGATCTTTTCAAACTGGCCCGGCTGGTGTGGCTCCGTGGACTGAGCATCATCCCATGGACTGAGAGGTTCTGGTTCAGTTCTGGGTCAGGGCACATACCCGGGTTGGAGAGGGTGCAGGAGGCAGCCAACCGATGTTTCTCTCTCACATCGATGTTTCTATCTCTCTCTCTCCCTTCCTCTCTCTCTAAAATATCAATAAAAACATTTTTAAAAAGAAGATCTTTTCTATCTCTATTTTTAGGTACAGAGATGAGCTTGTAAACATGTCCCAAAAGGACGTTGTGTGCAGAACTAAATTTTTGGTATGTTTTTGTTAAAATGCCGGATCATTTATATTTTGTTTGAAAATACTGTTCATGAAGCCAAATTGATTGTATTCC